ACCACTTGGGTCGACTTTGCATCTCTTAGCCGGAGTTGTTTGAGTTCTTCTTCTAATGAGGCAAGCTTGGAAAGAACGGCATCGTTCGAGGACCCGGTTGATGGTGTAGCCTCATTCATGGGGGCCCTCTTACGAACGCTCTTTCTTTGTGAATTTTCACTCAACATTTCATACAAATTGTAGATTTCTTCCTCCGTGTGGCTCCCTATGTCTCCACCGGCCGCATGATCGACCATGTATTGAAGAGTTTGGTGGAGACCATCGTAGAAGAATTGGTTGAGCACACCGAGGCAAAAGTGGTGATGCGGGCATTGGAGTTGATAGCCCTTGAATCGTTCCCAAGCTTCATGGAAAGTTTCACCGATGTTTTGGCTAAAGCTAGCCATTTGGGTCCGGAGGTCGGTGGTCTTTTGATGAGAGTAGTACTTGCTCATGAACTTCTCATATACGGCTTCCCACGTGTTGAGCAAGCTCGGAAGCAATGTCATGAACCAAGTCTTGGCTCGGTCTTTCAAGGTATATGGAAAGCACCTCATTCGGAGTTGGTTCTCGGTTAGGCCTTGGAGGGGAAATGTGTTGACGGTTGCATAGAAATCTCGAATGAAGTTGAGAGCATCCTCTTGGGCTAGGCCATAGAATGATGGGAGTTGGTTTAGGTGGATGGTCTTGAGATCATAATTTCGGGCCGCCTCCCCGAGCACGAGGCACGAAGTGTTGTCTCCAATAATTGGTCGTGCAAAGTACCTCATGTTCGGGGGAGGTGGTGGTGGCAAGTGCTCTCCTTGTCCCGCCATCGATTCGGTTTTGGGTTCCGGTTGTGGTTCCTCGATGTTAAGCTCAACGAAGAGATCGAACGGTTGTGTCTCCTTTACGGGTTTACCTCGTCGTCTACCTCGCATAAACACCAACAACAACTATACCCGTGAACGCACCAATGTGAAACAAGGTCAAACACAAGCAATAAAACAAATAAGTGACAAAAAGCAAGAGAAATCAAGAGAAACACGGAAATTAAGCAAAAGCACAAAAATCAAGAGAAACACAAGAAAAAGAGACAATCAAATAGCAAACTAGGCATCCTACTTGCCTTCCCCGGCAACGGCGCCATTTGTATAGTATAAAATTGATGGCCAAGGGATAACCGAGCTACCCAACTCGGGTCGATCTCGAAGGAAGGCTATTCGGAGCATTATCTACTATATGATCGTCCAAATCACAAAAAAGGAAAATAAAGTCCTAAACATTCTAAGCAATTGATTGGATGGTTGATTAACACTAACCGAGCACTTAAAAACGAGCAAACAACTAGAAGCAAGATGAAACGACGAGCGATTAGCAAACTAGATCACCGGAGTCTCATGCCATAACCATAACGGAATGATAATCAAGTGACATACGGAATAAACAAGCCATGAGCATTAGATTGCTAACCCTAGTCGTCTAACCGAGATCAACAAGTAATTAATGACTCTATCTACTCAAGCAAGCAATCAAGTTCAAGCATTTCAACCATCATCAATCATATCCAATTTACTCTAATGAACATTATAAGTAAAACCAGAGCAAAAAAGATGTAAAGAGCTTTAAAACTAAATACTCAATCTCCCATTGCGTAGACGATGAAAAACAGAGTCAAAAGCTCGAAACTTGAAAGAAACCGAAGTCGCCGAAAAATCTCCCAGAAAATTACATAAGCTCCTAATCTAGAGAGCAAAATAAAACATAAGCTAATTTCCCAAAGTGGGAAAAGTGAAAAATGAGAGAATGCATCCCCAAAATGCAAAGGAACAAAAATATTTATACTCCTGCCTA